AACAGGTTCACAAATCGCATTCTGGTGCAAACATCATAAATCAGGCTACCTAAGTTCAAATCCAGTAATTCCAAAGCCATCCGAAAGCTAAGAAATAGGGCTACAATTCATCAGAAGACCTCAACAACCAATTCTGAAGCATTCTCAACCAAAATAACCAATTACAGACGCAACTATCAAATTCGGGTAAAACCAGGACAGCAAGGGTAATTCCATCTTTTCACAAGTTACGCTACTCCGATTGACCTGAAATTTTGCAGACATCTCTAAAATATCATTCCCTAGAACTTTCATGTTTTAACCCAAGGCCAATTCAGCCTCTAACTATGAGGTACAGTGTCAGACAGAATGAAGAACAATGAAACCCTAACTTTCCAATTCTCTTTCCAAAACAGAAATTAGTTGCAATTAACCACTTTTTCCACCTTCTAGCTTCCTTAAATATCATTTTCAATCATCATACATGACCACATAATCATATTCATATGAAAACAGAAAAATCCCCAATAATTATAAAACTTCACCAATTCAACCAAAAATCAAGATATAATCCATAAAATTGCATCTTATACCACCACCAATCATGAATTAAATATCATTAGAGGGAGGAGAGGGGTCCTTCACTACTCACCTTAGCAAAACAAGAGAGAGAACAACTAGTCACCTTAGCTTTCCAAACAACTTCACCAATCACCTCACCAACACTAAGTGAAGAGGTTTTATGGGACAAAAGCAAGTTTAAGTGGTTGTTTTGATGGATTTGAGCTAAATGGAAGCAAGAACTTGGAGAGTTTTCTTTCTTTTGCTTAGAGAGAGAGAGAGAGAAAGAGAGAGAGAGAGCTGGCCACAATAGCTAAGAATGAAGATGATTTTTGGTAATTTTTGGTTTATTTAGTCAAATGGTAAAACAAGAAATAATAGTCGAAAGGTAAACCCAATCCCTAAGTGACACTTGTCACTTCCATAAATGCATCCCCATCTCTTTGTTTCCTCTCACACCAATCCAAATAGCAACCTCTACTTATCTCTTAGCACCCGATAATTTAAACCCAGTATCCAAAACTTAACCTAGTTGGCCAAATTTTTCCGAACTTTTCGCCTTAGTGGGTCCCACGTCCGGTATACGCTCTTAATTTCCCAAAAACTATTCGATACTAAAAAAATCACCTAAAAACTCTATTTACTCATAAAATTTATCTAGAAATTTTTTCTAATCACGAAAATGCAGAAAACAAGCCATGAAAAATAATAAAACCTAGAAAATGGAAAAAAAATACGGGTTCTCACATTTTCCCATTTTCTTTGTTTTATTATGTTATAGCCTTTCTTTTGAGTTATATTTTTCTTTGATCATTTATTCATTTGGATTCTCTTGGTTTCTATTTCACATTAGTAATGGATTTGGAGATAAAAGTCAGCTCCAGGGCTGCTAAGTTTTTCTTCTTTTTTTTTTTTCAAGATTTCATGGCTAAAGCAGTTGTAACATTTATGGTTAGAGAATTAGATAGGAATAGATAGAAAGATAGATATCTACAGAAAATAATTGGTAAATTTGATCTTCAATAGTATTATAAAAAGATGGAACTCTTGCACAATTTTTATTCATAATGCACGTATTGCTTTTGTGTGTTTAACCACAAAAAGACTAAAAAGTTGATCTAATATATCTAATATTATAATGTAAACATAGTACTACTTAAAAACATATCCACAGTTTAAATATATCTCTGTCCCTATTTTTTGATCGCTCTATAAAATCTTTTGCAATTAGAGTTTTGGAGTTTGGGCTGTATATCTCTAATCCCTAACAAAAAATGGGGAAGTTGAGTTTGTGAATAGTGATTCATGGCCCCTTGTGGACACCATAAGTAGGCGAGTGTTTTTGGTCAATTTGGAAGGGGTTTTAGACTTTAGCATTGGTTAGTGGTTGTTTTTTGGACTATTGGAATTGGACTGAGAACGGTTTGCTTCTTTCTTTGTTTTGACCATAATGTCCTGACTTTCAAGTGTTGTTTTACAATGAGGCCCCTGTGTTCTTTTTTATGTCCTTACTAACGGTGAAATGGATTGGATAAGCTGGTGTGATTTTCAGGTCTTTTTGCATTCCACTGCTGGACTTAGGAAAATTGGCTTCTTGTTATTGGTAGCATGTAGATGTACAGCCAATAAATGATGTTCATATATTACAACTTTAATTACTTTATTCGTTAACACACTTGTGAATACAATTAGACCATTGATATTACTTACATGAATAGTTTTATTGAAAACTTACCCTGCAACTGTTGGTTACAGATATTATTAGTCTTTTTACTTACTTCAACTCATGTTATGAGGGTTTGTTTGCCTTCATTTCTTACTGTTTCGTAATGATTTTAACGTCTTTTATTACCTTATTTTTATGAAACTTAACTAAAATTTTTACCCTCATTATTGACATCAGGCACGTTTTTTACTAGCTAATAGAATATGTTCTTTTATGAACTCTGCTTAATTCAAATGCATCAAAATTTTTTCTGTTTGTTAATTGAATCAGAGTTCTTTATCCTTAATAAGATATACCTTATATCTACCTACTGTTTCAGCTTTGGCTCCCAATTGTGATTCCTACACTTAGTACACCAATGGATGCCAGATCAATAGTTATATTTATTGGATTTTTCTAACGGGTGCCCACAGGGCACTCGTTAATATACCTAACATTCATCTAATTTATCATGTAGATGCACATACTAACAATTATTACCCTCTTTTGCGCTTTTATATTTTTTTTCTATTTAATCTTACCTACCATCTCTTATACTTATTTATTTTTTCCTAATTAATTTTACACTTTCAAAAAATACACTTGAAATATATCTTAAGAATGCCCTATGAGCTACCCTTAGACAGACCCATATTTATTTGGAATACTCTTTTTATTAATGAAATCAGACAGATAGCACAATACATTCATCTATGTAAATGGTTACTTCTCTTCTTTTCTGTATTGCTGATTGTTTCCTTAAATTTCCATGATTACTCTTCTATTTTGAAATTTTTTTATTTCCCATATACGTGCACTGCCAATCATGTTTTTAAACTCGGATTGGATCGGTCGATCCAACTGATCAAATTGGAAATCAGTCAAGTATCCGGTCCGAGTTAACTTAAAAACTCGAATTGATAAAAACTCGGTCAAATTAGGTTAAAAACCAGGTTTGACTGGAAAAACCAAAAGAACGGGTAAAACCGGGCACGGGGCATAGGGCAAAAGGCTACAGATGTAGGGGCGCATGTGCTCTTGTTGATTGAAGTGACGTGCGGTTGATAGGCCATTTGACGCTAGCAATTCATGCTCACATTGCAAACTATGGGCCTGTTTGGCACCCAAGTTTTTTACCAAGTTTTTTAGCTATTAGTTTTTTAACAACTTTTGCTACAGGAACCCCAAAAAAACTTTTCAAAGTTTTTTACTTACACATTTCAAAATTACACAAAAAATTTCCCAAAAACTTTTCTTCCTCCCTCACCCAACCACCACACGAGCCACCACCCCCACCACCCCTTCCGGCGCCGGTAACCTCAAAAAAAATTTTTCTGTCCACCACCCTCCCCTCTTCCCCTCTCCCTCCGCCACCCTCCCCCTCTCTGCTCTGCGATCTGGTCTGGTCGCGCGACCAGACCAGATCGCAGAGTAGAGAGGGGGAGGGTGGCGGAGAAGGGAGAGAGAAAGAGGGGAGGGAGAGAAAAGCTAAAAAAAAAATAATGCACAGCTGCGCGCCAGATCGCGTGAGAGGAAAGGGGAAGGGGAGGGGTAGCGGGGGAAAGGGAAAATGAGAGGGAAGGGTCCCGACCAAATCGCGTCGGGGGAGAGGGAGGGTGGCTGGGGAGGGGAGGAAAGAGGAGGGGAGAGGCGGCGGGGAAGGAAGGGGAAGGGGAGGGGCGGCGGACCAGATTGCGTCGAGGGAGAGGGAGGGTGGCTGGGGAGGGGAGGAAAGGGGAGGGGAGGGGCGGCGGACCAGATCGCGTCGGGGAAGAGGGGAGGGGAGGGGCGGCGGGGAGGGAGAGGGCTGGGGAGGGGAGGGGAGGAGAGGGGGAGAGGGAGGAAAGGGAACAGAAAAAAAGCAAAAAAAAAAAAAAGGAATCACCTGGAAGTCTGCCATGGAAGTCTCGGGAGAAGGAACAGGGAGGGAGAAGGGGAAGAAAGGGAGAAGGAAAAGAAAAAAGAAAAAAGAAAGAAAGAAAAAAAAAGGAAAATGAAAAGGAAAAAAAAATTCATCTTACAAACACCCCAAAATTTTTCTTACAAAGGTTTTTGGGAGAATTGTAATTTTGGTCCCCAATCTATAGTGTATGCGCGGAATTATCCCCAATCTATTTCGAAAATCAATCTTGGTCCCCAATCTATTCAATTTTGCTCTAAAGTGGACAATTGACGGAATCTCTTCAATTTCAATTGGAACTAAATCACATGAAATCACGTGCCGGCACCTAAAACCCTTTTTTCAATTTTTTTAATTTCTAAAACATGTTTTTTTAAATATTTGCAGCTTTTTCTTGCCTTTTGTCTTATTAAACAAAGACATGAAAGAGGTAATCTCACAATCCAAATTACTCCTCTTGTTGGCCGCCGATTTCAAATCCCCAAAACCCACAGCACGAGTAAGAAGCTCAGCTTGGCCTCCAAGTCCAAGTCTCGTTCTTGCCTCCATTAGTAATGGAGATAATCTGCAATCAACGCCAGAGACGGATCCAGTTCAACTCTCCTGCACAAACAACAGGAGTAGCAGCAGTACTAGTTCATAAGCAAGCAAGCAAGCAGCGCGAGAGAGAAGAGCAGATGATAATAATTGGAAATCAAAGGGATTATACGAACCAAATCATCAAAGGGATTATACTAGTAAGTATATTCTTTCCCTATTAGCCATTCTTCACCGTTGAACTGGAATGAGCATTCAATTGAACCACTAGTATATTATTGGTAGGTCATGCTTACGGTTGGAACAGACACTTCATCGATGACTATAGAATGGGCCTTGTCTCTTTTGCTCAACCATCCCGAGGTGCTAGAGAAAGCTCGAGCTGAATTGAATGCTCAAGTAGGGACTGATCGATTGGTCGACAAACATGATCTATCCAATCTTCCTTATCTTCATAACATTATTTCAGAAACACTTCGGTTGTACCCAGCAGCACCAATGCTAGTGCCACATGAGTCGTTCGATGACTGTAAAATTGGGGGATACAATATTCCGCGAGGCACAATTTTGCTAGTTAATGCATGGGCAGTTCACAGGGACCCAAACGTTTGGGATGATCCAACGAGCTTCAAGCCAGAGAGATTCGAAGGCTTGCAGGTTCAGCCATCAAAGCTGATTTCATTTGGGATAGGAAGGAGATCTTGCCTTGGTTCTGGCCCAGCACAGCGGGTCGTGAGTTTGGCCTTGGGATCTCTAATTCAGAGTTTTGATTGGAAAAGAATTGGTGAGGAGGAGATTGATCTGGCTGAAGGACAAGAGTGTCCATGCCAAAAGCCAAGCCACTAGAAAAAACGTGTTTTAGAAATTAAAAAATTGAAAAAGGGGTTTTAGGTGCCGGCACGTGATCTCACGTGACTTAGTTCCGATTGAAATTGAAAAGATTCCATCAATTGTCCACTTTAGTGCAAAATTGAATAGATTGGGGACCAAAATTGATTTTCGAAATAGATTGGGGATAATTCCACGCATACACTATAGATTGGGGACCAAAATTACAATTCTCCCAAAGTTTTTCTACAACTTCTACAGTGATCTACAGTAAAGTTTTATACAAACACCCAAAAAATTCACCTTCCAAACTAATGTTTTGGCTAGTCTTTGTAGGAGTAACGTGGTCCTACAACTACTTTGATAAGCGTCACCTTTCAAATTATGTTTTGAATGACTCGGGATCAACGCATTTTCAATATTATGTTTTGACATCTAGGTTATTCAAAATTATTAATATGCCTCAAATATTTCATACTTTATAAATATTATCCTAAAATTTGGTGTTATTTTTCAATCAAATCCATAATTTTATTTTTAAACTTGTTAATGTTCATTGAATAATAAAAATTGCTACTTGATCATTCTAATTTCTTTATATTTTCTTGTTAAATACATTTGAAACATCAAATATATATGAATATATCTTTATTAATATTAATATGCTCTTAGGTATTTTACATACAATATTTTAATTTTTAAATATTTTTATATATGATACCATCCGGTTCAACCTTCGATTAAATCTAATCTAATCCATTGACCCATGATCTCTAACCTTAACCGAGTCAATATCCGGTCCGAATCTGAAAACATAGACAGCCAGTCGACATCTTTGCGTGGGCAACCTCAGGCGAAGCACGAGGCCCATCTCCAACTAGTCTTTTGAAAAACTTGGGCAGCCATGACTCTCTCGCCCCTTAGTTCTGTCTATTTTTGACCATCTGTGTCTATAACAAGAACCTGAATTAGACTACTTAATTCCTAGTGAAGACGAAAAATAAATATCGAAAAGTTCGAATAAGCTCCCGCGTGAATGGTCCAGCGGCAGCACCTCCCCCTGGTGAACCTCTAGGTCCCAGGTTCGAGTCCCTGCGCTGCTGGATTCCTCCGCGCACTTACCGTGCTTGGGTCGGGTTGGGGCGCCAAGGCCCGGGCCACAGGGGATTAGTCGGGCCCCGTAAGGATTGACCCGGACACCCCTGTGTCGACAAAAAAAAAAAGAATAATGCTTGCCTAACTCCTATCGATTAATATTTAATTTCTCTCTTTACGCTTTTTAAATCTTACCATTTCCCTACTAAAAAAAGGTGATAAACTTCATTAATATATTTTTAGGTGTGCATATCTTCTCAAGGTTATCCCACTATAGTTTTTTGATATAGAACAAGTTGCTGGGAAGGTTTTGGACAAAATGTAGCAGGCCAAAGAGAGAGCAAACGGAAGTTGCACGGCCACGACTTCAGAGGAAGTCCGAATATCAGCGCCAGACTTCCCTTCAGAGGAGGACCGACGCCAACAGTGGCATCGGACTTCATCAGTGTAGCATTTTGTTTTTCTTTTCTTATTTTTTTTCGTTTTCTGCCTTTTGTTGAAATTTTGTTTTCTTGAATCGCTCCTTTGTTATTTTCGGAAAAAGCTCGTGAAACCATTCCCTCTACCTGCTTCCGCATTATTTTTTCTATCCCATGTTTTGACTATTTAAAAGAAGAAAAAAAAGAAAGAAAACGTCATATTGCTCTATGATTTAGTGAACAAAGTTAGGGGAAAAAAAAAAAGAACAGTCTTGTATATCATTTTCCACGCAAGACTATTATACTCCCCAAAAGGGAACAAGAAAAAAAAATGGAAAGAAAATAAACTTCAAGGTTGACTTCAATGCAACCAGCTACAATCATTTTATGGCATTTGTTTGCGGAGAAAATTCCAAATTTATGATGAATTTTAAAAAATTTCTGCAAAGGGGGCAATTTGAGAATGCAATTCCGTCCACCCAGAAAGCCAAAAAAAAAAAAAAAAAAGCTAACATTGACCTCGCATTCGGAAATGCGAGGTTAGTGACTTGTAAAAAAAATTTATGATGAATTGTAAAAAAAATTTATGGCTTGTAAAAATTCCAAATTTATGATGAATTTTAAAAAAATTCTGCAAAGGGGGCAGTTTGAGAATACAATTCCTTCCACCCAGAAAGCCAAAAAAAAAAAGAGTTAACATTGACCTCGCATTTGGAAAATGCGAGGTTGGTGACTTGTAAAAAAAAAGTTTACTTAGTTGGAGCTCTAATAAATTTTTTTTTATGTTATAGCTATCATGATATGAAAAATATTTGTTCTGTCAGAGGAAATAAATATTTTTTAAATATTTATTGTAACTGCAATCATTTTGCTCTTTTTGGCCACTTCGCATATTGTCATTTACTAAATGCGAGCTCTTAAAAAAGTTAAAGTAAAATAATATTTGTTTTCTTCTAGCGAGCTTCTACAAAATTAAATTTAAAAAAGATTTGTTTTCTTAGAGTACTAAACGTGAGCTTCTAGAGAATTAAATTTCGCACAATATTTGTTTTGCAGATCTCTCATTTACTAAAAGCAATCTTTAGTAAAATCTTATTTTTAAAAAAATAATTGTTTAGGCATTCATTGAGTGCGAGGAGTAAATATTTTGGATCTTGCATTTGATAAATGCAAATTCATAGAAAACTACATTAAAAAATGCGGCTGGAAGAAGAAGATGAAGAAGAAAACTAAGAAGGGAATTCACGTTTTAATCGTACAATAGACACAATACGCAACTTCACAAAATGCGACTTGAAGTCGCGTTTTCTCCACTTACGTTGCTGAGTCGCGTTTTCTTCACTTTCCTTGCTAAGTAGCAATTAGCATGGAAATCGAGGCTAATTTGGTTTTGGGCTTAGTCATATTTTATCTGCAAGGACTATATTCTGATTTTGAATAATTAAATTTTGTAGTGTTGTCGACTTTTTATGTTCAAATTATAGATTTTTTTCACAAATCTATAATTAAAAAGAAAAAGGATTTATTCCTCTATGTAAATGTCAATTCGAAAACAAAAATGATTATGAGCTCCTAAATAAAAAAAAGCAATTTTTTAATGTAGTTTTCTATGAATTCGCATTTATCAAATGCGAGATCCAAAATATTTGCTCCTCCCACTCATGAATGCCTAAACAATTATTTTTAAAAAAATAAGACTTTACTAAAGATTGCTTTTAGTAAATGAGAGATCTGCAAAACAAATATTGTGCGAAATTTAATTCTCTAAGAGCTCGCGTTTAGTACTCTAAGAAAACAAATCTTTTTAAATTTAATTTTGTAGAAGCTCGTTAGGAGAAAACAAATATTATTTTACTTTAACTTTTTTAGGAGCTCGCATTTAGTAAATGACAATATGCGAAGTGGTAAAAAAGAGCAAAATGATCGCAGTTACAATAAATATTTAAAAAATATTTATTTTCTCTAATAGAACAAATATTTTTCGTATCATGATAGCTGTAACATAAAAAAAAATATTTTTTTAGAGCTCCAACTAAGCAAATTTTTTTTTACAAGTCACTAACCTTGCATTTCTGAAATGCGAGGTCAATGTTAAATTTTTTTTTTTTGGCTTTCTGGGTGTAAAAATGCGAAATGACTTTGGAGCTCGCATTTGCTGAATGCGAAGACCTCTTGGACCGAATTGCATTCTCAAACTGCCCCCTTTGCAAAAATTTTTTAAATTTCATCATAAATTTGGAATTTTCTCTTGTTTGCGCTCTCTCTCTCTCTCTCTCTCTCTCTCTCTCTATATATATATATATATATATATATAAGTTTTTTAGATCTTCTGAAATAAAAGTCAGCCAGGGCCGATAAACTATCTTTTTCTCCTTTTGCCTTTCTCTTTTTGTTGATCATAACAAAAAATAATAATAATAATAAATGGAGACAAAAATATGAAATGTGATTGTTTCCTTAACAACAATAATCAAGCTACTATAACATGTCGTAACAATAATAGGTAGGAGACTTAATCCTAAACAAAATAAATAAAAGTTCGGACATTTAATAAGATAAAAATAGATAGAAAAAAATAGATATCCACATAAAAAATTTGATAGAATTGATCCTAGGGCCATCATAATAAATATTTCAGCCCACTTCACCAGTGGCTTAAAGGTACTTATTATAGGCAGAGAACCCTTAAAAGAATACAACTTTATGGAGTAGACGGAAGTTTTCACCACTATAGTATGTTGTAGGATATGATAATCCGTGATAGTATCTTCTAGAAAATGATAATCCATGCTTTGTGAGGAATACCTCTATAAAAGCTGCACTTCACTGTCTCATGCAGCCAACTCATGGTCCATCATCAGAAAATTTTCTAATTTGTTGATCGAAGTGTCTGCAAACTAAGGAAGGCCTCATGAAATGTGTAAAAAAAAATTTCATGTTTTTTGCGTATGATGAACTGGAACACCTGAGTTATCCATGGACTTGCTATTGTAGAAAGCTTGAACCATTGATCAAGGGCAAAAGAAATGAAAGAAAGCATTGAGAAAAAAAAAACTATCATTATAACTGCCACTTCAAGGGCAAAAGTCAGAAATATACATCTATGCATTAAGATTTCATAGTGTAACAAGACATCAAAGAAAGAATGAATGAAATAACCAAAAAAAAAAAAAAAAGAGTCTTGGACCCTCTCTATATGGTAAATACTACCAAAATATACTAGTGTTGGTTGTCATTGTCCTTGCATGGCCGAACCGCTCCCTAAATACTTGCTGGCCATACTTTTAAGCTTAATGACCAGGTCCTCTAGGGCTAGGTCCAGAAGCCAACCTTTCAAGCCAATGCGACATCGTGTCTCTTGCTTTTGCATAGACCGAAGGAAATTTATCCAAGTGATTGGCACCTGCGAAGTCTTCCTCTGTCAACAACCTCGCTGCCTCCACATGAACTTGGCCCATGATGGCAACAAAAATGAAAAACCAGTACAAGAATTGCTGCTTTTCT